GCAATGTGGGATCGCAGCGCGTTGCATGCATGCATAGTCGTACGATGCATCGCTACTGTGTCGATGTGCGGTGACACAATAGGGGTCGGGGTATCGGTGCTTCGAATCAAGATACCTATTGACGAAAATGTATGCAGATGTATTTTGATTCCAAGCGCTTTTTCGATAGTCATGGGCTACAATTCTCAAAATGGCCAAAACTTGGGCACTTTCGGCTACAAACCGCGAGCGTGTTTATGCAGTGAAGTCACTGCACTACAAAACACATGCCAAAGAATTTGGTGGTAATGGGCCGTACTACTACCACGGGCATACATCGCTCGGACGTTAATTCTACCTGCATCGTGTGTCTCATCGAGGGGTTTGGCTGTGTTGAAAAACACCAAACCACGCGACGCACACGTAAGTGTCGAGCCCGCGGAGGCAATCCCATTCCAGACGTTGGTCCAGATGACCGCGACGCCAACGCTGATGGTTGCGTCATTCGAGGCGCATCAGGAGTCACCGCTCGGCGCTCATGTACGCGGGCTGTTTGATGTGGAAGATTCTTCAAGGCTGGAGCATCGAGAGGCCGGGTTCGAGACTGCCTGAGGTGAAGACAGGTGACTGGTCCGCGTGTTTGAGCACATGCCCTTGGTGTCACTGATGCTCTGGTTGATGTCGACGCTGTCCTTTCGTAATATCAAAAAAGACGATACAGAATGCAGTTGTACAGGGGACCCCTTCAATTCACTCTACAGCACACAGGATTCTTGATGTCTCTAACTACACGCGTCATCCCGACGTCTCGCCCGTGAGCTGGAGGATCTTGTACGGCCGGTTGCTTTCGTCCATCTCGGCCGCGATACCGAGCTCGGCCTTGAGCGTATGCGGCGAGATGAAATCCCACTGCTCGAACGCCTTTTGCTTCTCGGGGGGCGGGTCTTGGTACCAGTCATCTACACAAACATCAGTATCAATGTATCAGGCTATCACGTACGTCGAATGAAGTGCTTGTCGCGCGCGTCAAAGTGCGCCATCATGTTCCAAAAGTTTGAGTACGTCTTTCGGTCCGTGAGTGGCTTGAGGCTCGGCGTGAATTCCGGTTGCACGTGCTTGACCATGAGGCGTTCCCAGTCCAAACCATGAAAGAACGGGTGCTCCATGATATCGAGGAACCCGCGGGACGTGCACCCCATGCGATTCACCGCGTTCACTTCCAGAAGTCGATTGATAAAGTCCCGCGCATTCGCCGACACCTACCCGCTCTTGAACGATGGATTCCACGTTTGATAACGTACCTGGTCCGGGTAGTCGACGCCAGCTGCCATGCGCTCGAGCTCGGCGCGGTATTGCGACCGGGGGCTGAGCTTGGCGACTTCGACTTCTTGCGCAATCTCGGCGAGGAACCCGTCGCCGAGTACGTTGTAGAGGTTGAAGGGCTGGTAGCCGCAAATGAGCTCGTAGATGGTCACCCCGAGCGACCAATAGTCGATCGTGAAATTGTACCCGGGCCGCTCTTCCCGCCGAAGGAGCTTCCCCGAGATGAGCTCGGGCGCCATGTAGCCCTTTGTGCCGACCGTGGTCTTGCGGCGTGTGTTCTTGGCGTCCGGCGGCCGAGCAAATGATTTTGGCACGGTTTGTGTCTGCCCCGAGAGCTGCACGACGCCGTGGGGGTTGTGGTCTTCTTCCGGCAGCGTCACGTGCGACTCGACGCGGGCCAAGCCCGCGGCGTCCGTGGCCTTTGCGGCCTCGCGGTCGGCCTCTTCGCGGTGCTTTTTCGCGCGGATTTCTTCGAGGCCGGTCGCGAGGCCCATGTCGGCGAGGACAATGTGTCCATCTTCGCCCAAGAGCACATTGCACGGCTTGAGGTCGCGGTAGATCAAGCCGAGTTCGTGCAAATGGTTGAGCGCGAGCGCAATCTCGGCAGCGTACAAGCGCACCCGGCCTTCGGGGAGGTACCCGCGCTTGGAGCCTTTCATGAGCTCGTTGAGGTCGCCGCCGCGCACAAGCTCGGTCACAATGATGGCGTGGGCGCTGGTCTGGAAGCTGTAGTGCATGTCGAGGATGTACGGGTGGTTGCACATTTGGAGAATGTCCTTCTCGGACGTGATTTGATCGAGCTGGTCTTGGTGCTCGTGGAGAAGCCCGTTCTTGAGTTGAATTTTCATCGCTAGTATAATCGATAGAAGACAATATGTTGACAACGTGACGCGATACCGTAATGCTTGCCGGTGGACTTTTTCCGAGCATGCACGACACGACCAAAGCCCCCCGAGCCGAGGAGCTCGAGGTAGTCGAAATCATCGACTGTCACTTTGTTGTACGTGTCCTTGAGCTCGAGCTTGTAGAGGTCGTACTCGGGCGAGCTCTTGAAGCGATGGTACGTGTTCTTGCACATGTCGTCAAAACACATTTTCTGAATCGGCGCAAAAAACTCTTTTGTGATTTGGCTCGGGTCGCCGTCAATGACCTTGATCAATTCCTAATGGAAGGAAATGTAGCATATTTCTTTTTCAAAATAGAGGCAGGACGTACGTCGTACTGCTCGACCATGTCGGACGCAAGGCCACCGAGCGCCATGGCCGCGCCGTGCTTGATGTATTTTTTATAAATGTGCTTGGCCACCGAGCGCTGGTAGCCGCTGGACGGCGCCTCGATGAACTCCATGCACTCGACCCAGCAGTAGAACGTCTCGCTCGTGAGAATCTTCTTGGCGTAATTGCCAATGTGCTTTTGACCGACCGGATCGTGGAGCATTTGCGTGAGCTCGTCGTCCGCGATCGAGAGACGCCCCGAGCTCTTGACGCGGTTCATATTGGACGCGGGCACCATCTTCCACTGCGTGTTGGCAGCGACCAGCGGCGCTGGCACGCCACGGCCCGTCATCTTGGGTGCTACCTTGGCCTGCGTCGACTTGGCGTCGCCGCCCTTGCTCGCACCCCCGCCCATGCTGAGGAAACAGTCCAACTGTGGCGCTTCACGGACGGATGTTTCGCTTGTATTTTTAGCAAATTTGTTTTTAGACAACCTAACGACTAGCGACGGCGATTTAGTAGAAGACGCGCTCATCACACTACTACAGTGCACGATTCGCCTCGTACTAGTACACAATTTTCGCCCGACCGTCAAGGCGGCGGACGATCCGTAGTCTTAAAAAGTTGAGCGTTGAAGGGTTAACCATCCAACACCGGGAGTTGAAGTCTGAATGCGAAATGAGTCGGTTGACTATTATTTGCGTGCACACTAGTAGCATCCAAGTATCGGTAGTATCGAAAGGAAAGTGGAAAAGTTGGAAATTGGCATGGGGAGTGGTGATGAGGTGAGCTTACACTCGAGAAACTCAAGACCATCGACCCGACGCGCGCCAACGACAGCGTGAAAACCGGCGACACGATTGTCGTACCAAAGTGCTTACACTGCAAAAAGAAAAAGTGATGATAGCCAATCGCGGGCTCGAACCCACGATGAGCTGAGTAGCATCTCCACCCGTGGGCGATTTCGACACCAGGTTGTGGGCTTGGTCGGCGTTCCGGCATAATTGAGAGGTTGCGATGTTGCAAGGTTGTTGGAGGACGAGTAATATCCTGGCGTACAGGTACAGGTAGGTAGGTATAAGAGTCGCGTTATCGGAGAATATTAGATCATATACGCAGCCACGCTGCTTGGACGAAGGTGACGTTGTTGCTGTCACTGTGAGCGTCGTTCTTCAAGGACCGATGGAGCTTTGGAGCCAAATACGAAGGTAGATATCGATGGAAGATCGAGGGGATGATCAGGGTTAAAAAGCTCTTAGATGGTTAGTCAACACGTAAGCTTCAGAGTTGGATTATCTGTATGGCATCACGCCATCCCCGTAAATTGAAAATCAAACGCACAAGTCAGAGAGATGATAATGTTCTCGTCACAGACCAAACCTTGAGGCTGGATCAGAGAGATTCCCATTTTATCCAAATCATCACTCTTGTGCAGATAGTTATGAATAAAATGAAAGGAAATCGATCGATTGGAGATCAGATAGGAGCGAAAGACATTGCTGATGTTAGTTCATCATAAATTTTCAGTTGAACTATGCATATTCAAATCATCAAGTCGCCAATCAAATACAGAAATGCATAAAAGGAAAGATGCAGCTCCATTGGAAAGCAGGAGAAAATGTTTCATTGTCTCAGGACATGACATAAAACCTCACTCAAAACCACAGACTCCATACATTCATTGTGGCTGCGGTGAAGTCGAATACGACGCACTTGTCTGCTTGGTTGAGGCACGGATCGGGTTTGTGAAGCGAGTCGGCAATGAACACGTACAACACAATATCATTCGAGAAATATGAGTAGATTTCTTATGGTGTTTTCGGCATGAAAAATGATGCGACATTGGGAACCCTCAGCAAAAAATTAGAGTTTCTATGGAAGGTGTATCCTCACGGTGTAATCAGAGAGGTGGTACAGTTTGTCATCTCTAGGTTCCCATGTCGTCACTTGTCTAGTCCTTACGAATATACGCATAAATACAAGTGGTGGAGTGTCCCTCAGCAAAAAATTAGAGTTTCTATGGAGTATGTATCCTCACGGAGTAATCAGAGAGGTGGTACATTTTGTCATCCTCGGGCACAGTTCTACTACTACTGATCCTGCTGCTACTCGCAATCGCGCAATTTCGAAACTGACCACTCGACCGGCCGGCGCCAAACGGTGCGCTCTTGGCGGCCACTCGTTCCGGCCAGATCTGATTGGCTCGTCCGTGATTGGTCGAATGAAACTGCACACATTTATACATGCATTGCTAGAGGTTTTTAAAGAGCCAATCGCGAAACTGCACACATTTATACATGCATTGCTAGAGGTTTTTAAAGAGCCAATCCCGCGGCGACATATCGTGCATTTCTACCAATCACCCTGCAGCGTGCATTGAACCAATCCACTGCGCCACACAGGGCATTAACAGCCAATCCCCATACAAGACCAATCAACCAATCCAGAACGAGGAAAGCGTAGCTTTTGTACCAATCGCGGCAACGCAAAGATCCCGACAATGCTTCGACCGACGACCCAGTGGCAGGCCGCGCTACGGGACGGCGACAGAGCTACGCATGGCAAGCGCAAGCCAGTGCGTCAACCCAGCCAGCCACGTCCGCTCAAGGAGCCTCCGTACGCCCGAGCGAACTGCATATCGAGCGCTCATACTGCGCTAGGCGAGAGCCATCGGCTGCTGAGCTGCTCAAGGCCTTCGCCCGGGAGATGGAGGCTACCAAGACGCCCTTGGCAACAGCATGCCCTAGCCAAGTGGCAAAACCTTCCTTGGTCGAGCCTACTGTGCGCTACGAGTTACATCCCAATACAAACTTTGCCAGCCTCATGGCATCGACGTCCGAGCCAGCCTCGTCGCTAGCACCAAGTCCGTTGTCCGCTCCGACACCACTGCCGCGCCCATCGACGGCGACAGCTACGTCGTATGCCCGGCCTCCTCAGAGTCCTTTGTCGACGCTCAAGACACAGGTGCAGTGTGATTCCAGGCGTATCTGGATCTCACGCACTTGACAGCGGTCGCTTCTTCACGCCCGGGTCAAGTCGCTCGGCCACGCATTGCCCGAGTCTCGGACGCTCCACGCCTTGTACTATGGCGTGCATCAAGCAACTTCTAACAACGTTATCTCGTCTAGACGCGAGCTCGGTGCCAGTGTCCGGTCGTCGACCAAGATTCTCGACGGAACGACGTCCGAGACAGACCTCGACGCACCATGGCTACTAGAGCGGCGAGGTCTGGACATTCCTCGCTCGCTGCCACCGAGGCCTCTACCGATGCCGCACCCCCGTCCGCAGCTGCCTCCAAGCGCCAAGGACTCGTGGGACGTCAACTTGGCCGACCTCGCAACGATCTTGAGTCGATACAAACACGAGCTCGAGAAGCTTCTCGATGAAGACGCTGCCAAGGCGCCGCCACCGACTCCGACCAAGGACACCACGTCCACCGTGTCTGCGACTAGGGTCGACACACCTTCCTCCGCCGCCGTAACGAGCGAAGCAGCGTCGAGCGTGCATGTCGCAGCCAGCAGTGACATCTCGCACGATGTGCCTGAATATGCCACTTTGCCGCCGGAGACCCGCCTTTCAGAGAGCCCTACGAGCGAATGCAGGGTCAAAAAGGCAAGGATCCCATCTCCTGGGACAAAAAACGTATTGGGCGTCACCGATATCGTCGAAAAGCCTGCAGCCTTTTCGACTGAAAAATGGTTTATCTCGGCGCCGCCGATATCATCTGAGGCGCCTTTGTTCCGCTTTTGCGTGTTTGACGCACCCGCGCCGATGGAGCCGCACGTCTTATCCCTCGATTTTGTCCCAATGCCATTGGCTGTGTCCTGCGCCGAGGTGTCCTCTCCACCGACAGTAAGCTCGGCTGTCGGCGGATGGACACCACTCGAACCCACGTGCTCGTCCCGATGGGCGTCGACCATGTCATTGCCACCAGCCGCCACGCACCAAGCGGATATGCCTGCCAGTACAGAATCGTCGTGCGCTTCTTCGCGCGCGCCCGCCATTGCCATCGACGACTTGCGCGTTTCATCGACGGTGTTGCCGTCTGCCATGTGCCAAGCAGGAGCAACGACAGCGCAAAGCGACATCTCGGTATGTAGTATGGTTTGCATTCGAGCGCATGGACGGTGTAGGCTGCGTCGTCACGGCGGCCGCGCTGCGTCGACGATGCCATGTGGCCGTTGCCTGCATCCGTCTCGTCGGGCTACCGTCAAAAGCAAGATCACCTTCTTCATGCGGGGCTCCACCATCGACTATGGTCGTCCAAAAGCTCGATAGCTGCGTCGACAACCACTAGCATCTAAGACTCTGATACACATCTTACGGCGTACGAGCTCAAGGCTCTTCGTTAAGTAGTAACTATCATTCACGTACCAAAGGACCGTCGACTGCAAAATGTCATACCAGTTCCTGTCACAACAACCGCTCAGTTGGCGAGCCTACAACAAGGGACAACAACAAGACATGATGATTTACGCTTGCGAATTCTTGCCTACGAGTAGCTTGAAACACAAAAGCGACTGTGGCCATCATGTACCTGGCTTTGCTTACCCTAGCCCGCGCTCGAAATAGCAAAATTATTGAGTCTAATTCCACGTACAACGGCCGTGGCGTTGTCGTAGCAAGGCCGGCAACGCGCAAGGACGATGCAAGACGACGACCGGACCGAGCAACCCCGCGTCGGCTTTTTCTACCCGACCAACGGCAGCGGAAGTACCTCCAAGCTGCAGATCCGGTCGCGGCCCAAGCCGGCGCCGTCCAGCAACCAAGTTGCGCGGGCTCAACACGTCCTCGCCCAGGTCCCATTTCATTTCGCTCGAGAAATGATACCAGTGGACGCTGTTTGTAGGCGACGACGTTCTTCGAGACGGCCAGCTCGGAGGTCTACGCCGTCGACGTGGCCATGCGCAACGTGCGCGCCGCCATGGACTCGTTTCAGCTCGTCATGGAAAAGCAGGTATTCCGATCAACTAATCGTCTCTGCTACAAGTATCTCATTCAGCGATTATATAGCTCTATCTGTGCAACGACTATGACGGGTTTCGTGTCTCACGGCTCAAGGCCGACATGCTCGACACGCTCGAAACCATCAAGAGTGCAAGTACCTCCATGGAGCAAACGTCGCTTCGGCTGCAAAAATCGATTGGCGTCGGGCGAAAGTACATTGTGTCGCACACGGCGGCGCTCGGGCGACCGAAAAAAGGAAGCGCCGAGACACTGAGCGTGCTCGAGCTGACGCCGACCAACGCGGTCGCGTCGCTCTACGACGTCCTCTTCCCCCCTCAAGTCGTGCCAAGCGTGCCCCCCGAAAACCTTGCGTTTGTGTACGCCCCTTCTTCGGTTTTCCCACTAAGAAATGCGGGGAGTAGGCTCGACAAACTGGCGTTCCGGGGCAAATCCGTGCTCGAGAAGAAAGAATTGCTGCTCTTTTACCGCGAATTGTGCAATTGGAGTCTTGCCAACAACAGCGTCATCTCGGCGCTCGACCGTGCGAACCAAAAAAAACACACAACACGCTACGCCACGATCCTCACGGCAGCGTCATGGGAAGCGCTTGAAGCCCGCGACGGGGAAGTCCACGAACTCAGTCATGTGCCGCGGGCTGAAATCGAGGCATTTGTGACATCAAGCGCCTTTCCGACGCTAGTGAAAAGCGTGAGTGACCGACTGGGCACGCCGTCGCCGCCAAAGTCGGCGTCTACGCCGTCCAAAGAGACGTCGTCCGGGCAACTGAGCGCGGCCGAGCAAACGCTGTCGATGGCCAAGATGCTGCACGATCTCGCGACCGCCGAGTCGGAGGCCAAGGCCGGGTACCGGCTCTCGGTGCGGTCGAACGCAGCCCGTTCCAAGGAGTTTTCCAAAGCCTTTCTATCCGCCTCGAAAGAACTCATGGAGAAGGAGACGGCTTTTTTTTAGCCCGTCCTCTCGTACGAGTCCTAGTCGTAGGCATGATCAATAGACCGGCTGTGTACGAATATGGCGTCTTCCCTCGACGGTGCGAGCGAGAGGTGACGACGGTGTGCACGGATCGAGATATTGCATGCAACGCGCGCGACGCGAGGCCGTCAAGCGCGTCTGCCTAGCTTGCGCAACGATAAGCGAGTCTACCACATCTCTACCAAAAGTACTAGCTTGGACCGACGTCAGCTTCGAACGGCCAACACGCTCATATCTCTATAGAACTTTCATGGGCACGTAGACTGTAGCAGTGTCCTTGTAGCTTCCGTCCTGGCGTGCATCGAGCTGCACTCGGTACTTGCTGAAAAGAGTTTGTTGAAGTGCCACGTCGTGTGTTTTATATTCGTGAGTGCAAACGGCAAATTGCGATTCTTGAATCTTTACGACGAGCGCCGAACGTACGTACTGTACAGATCTCGGAGCTTCTTCTTCGTCGTCGTTGTCCTCTTGATATCATACACGATCGAAAGCCACCGTGCAGTCCCTCTACAAGCGCAGCTGCGCACCTGTGATAGCCCAAACGTTGATGCTGCCCACATCGCTGGCGTGCGATCGTGTCGGCGCATCTCGGCAGCAAAGTCGCTCGCTCTCCTCCACGCACGCGCCTTGAGGTTTTTGCACGCCGCCATGCAAGCATGTTCCCGCCCTAAACTCGCGTCGTCACCGACCTGAGTCCCACGAGCCGCAAGCCAAAGAAAAAAAGGGTGCCACAGAGGCCCGGTCACACATTGTTCGGATACAGTCCGCGCTGATTGGTGGATCTATTTTTTGTCGCGCGCCGATTGGTGCATTTGAATTCGCGCGCTGGCATGAACCTTCTCAACCTGGTTTCCGCGATGGGACAGCGCGCGCGGAGATGACGGCAGCTGTTGAAGCGCCGCCTCTGATGGCTGGCACAGCGTGCAGTCAGTATACTACAATCGAACTTGACATCCAGCACGTACTTCTTCAGCAGTATGCGCACACCGCCGACGACCAAGGACTCGGACGAGCCCGAAGACGAGTTTGATCTTGATGCGTCGCTCTCGCCGCGCCTCGTGGACCTCATGGTCACGAGCTACTCGGTGGGCACGGACGGTATTGTCATGTACCACGTCGACGTCAAGAACCCGCACGACATGCTCGACACGTACACGATTCGCCGCCGGTACACGGACTTTCGCAACTTGTATTTTGAGCTCTCGACTATGATGCCACTGGAGGACAAGGACGCGGCGCTGGCCTCGCGCTCGAGCCTTCTCTCTCGCTTTACGATCTCCAACTCGACGTTGCCGCCGTTGCCGTCGGCCGGCGTCTGGTCGTACTTGCGCAAGCACGATACCAAGGTGCTCGAGAAGCGCCGCGCGGCCTTTCAGGATATTTTGGACGCCGCCGCCTCGCACACGGAGGCCCGCGTGAGCAGCGCGTTCCAGACATTTCTGAGCGTCGCGCCCGAGTCGCTCAACCACCGTGCGTCGTACACGTCACTGCGCGACTACAGCGTGCCCGCCGACAACAACAAGGCGTATACGAAGCGCAAGAAGAACCCGCGAAAGCGCGGCAACAGCGGTCAGTACTAGCAACCGAGGCGCGCTTGTACCATAGTCATTTTTCTTATTTTATCCTTCTTTGTCTGCGTTGTCGTTTTTCGACTGACCATTACGGTATGGGTCGTGGCCAGTGTCAGTTTGCCCTTTGAGATTGCACTGGAGTGCCAGGATGGCCATGCCACGGAATCTCTGCGCAGTGAGATCCACAGGCAGTACAGTAAGTGTCGAATGCAGCTATGTCCAGTATGCAGCGATCGCGCACGTTCCGGCGGCAACTTGCTCCAAGGCTACCCCAGCATCGGCAGCAGAGATGGCGGAGCTTGTTGGTGCCAGTACTGTGCTACCAAGCAGAGTCATATATACAAGTTGCCGCCTGCTTACACTATAGCTCTCGGCTCGGCTCGGCTCTCTGTTCCGGTCTGTTCAGCTTCTACGACGCCTTTCTGCGGTTCACCAAATGCGTTTCGAGTCGCAGACACCATGCGAGGAAGGTTAGGTCTGTAGTTGCCGGCTGCTGCATCCATAATGTTGATTTGTACTCGTGCAAGGAGCTCGTCGACTTTAGTTGGTTGGTCTGATGAAATCAGCAAGAAAGGGATGATCCGTGGGCAAGATGCTGGTGTCCCATCGTCATGAGAGCGATGCTACGCATTTAAAATACTAGTATACCCACATCAAGGTTAAATAAAATATCGGTATTAAAAATGCAGCCCGAGCCAACATCATTTTCACTTGACATGGCCGACACCGACGACGACTTCTTGTTCGGCGCACCGCCCGCGGCCAACGACCGCAGCAGCGCCGCGCCGGCAAAGCTCGAGTACGAAGACCTCTTTGGCGCGCCGCCGGCGCCGGCGAGCATAGCAACGGCTGACGATGCAAGCACGCTCTTTGGCCCGCCACCGCGCGACGCCGCCGCCGACGCCACGCACCTCGTCGTCCTGCAGCATGGCCTCCACGGCAGCCCGTCTGACTACCACACGTTTGCCTTCATCCTCCGCGACGTCTTCCGGGACGAGCCAGGTACCGTTTTGTGCCATGCCATCTCAACCTGCATGGCGTGCCAGGGCTCTACATTGTTGCTGCCGCCTCGAACGCCACAGACACACACGACGGTATTGACGCCGGCGGGCTACGCTTGGCCGACGAAGTCGAGCACCTCGCGGCCTCCTGTCCTCGGTAATTCGTCCCAAAAGCCAAAGCTGTCCTGAACGCTGGAGGACTCTAGGCTCGAGAAGGTGTCTCTGATTGGCCACTCGCTCGGTGGGCTCTACGTGCGCTACTGCATTGGCGTCTTGTACGCGCGAGGCTTTTTCGACCAGATCACGCCCATGGTGTGTATTTCTCTAGTATCAATGTTTCAAGTTGAAACGTCGTAGAACGTCATTACGCTCGCCGCGCCGCACTTTGGGGTCCGCGCACCGTTCAACAATAGGGGTGCTGTCAACGCCGTTGTCAACACCATTTCGTCCAAGCTCTTTGATCGGTACTAGTACAAATTTTGATGCAATATGCATAAAAATGGACTAGGACCGGGGCGCAATTCGTGCTCCAGGACACTGCGTCCTCCACATGCGTGGCGCTGGCCACGCACGCGGTCCCGCTGCCAATGGCGCCCATGACAGGCACGCTCGAGATCCAGTTGCCCGCGCCAAACGTCGGGTACGCGCTGCTGGCGTACCGCCTTCGCGACGGTCGCCTCGACATCTTGTTGGACCCGACGGACCACGACCCGATCTTTTCGTTTTCTCTGGATGGTATGAACGCATTGCTTTTTGTGCCCGAGCCGACGCCGGCTACGAATGACGTCGAGACCGAAGCGTCGAGCTACCTCTACGATGGTAAACCGGGTGTGTACCCTACCCCTACCCTAACCGCCAACCGTAGACGACGCGGCCGAGACGGCAATCGCGCGGGATACGGTCTTGCAGCTCCACAACGCCGATCACAGCCTCTCGATCGAAGTGCGCATGGCCACCAGTGTTGACTGGGCGCTCTTGCATGCCGTTCTGCGCTATCTCGGTCGCCTTCGGTGCGTCAACTATGTTGGTGACAAGAACCTCGTGCGCGCGAGCCTCGTCCGCGTCGCGTCGGCGCCGTCGCTGCTGCAGTGTCTGAGCCAAGGCGCGTTTTTGTTTGGCCTAGCAAGTTTTCGCCGGCGCGCGCTCTACTCCAACATCTTTTTTGACATTCAGGTTGGCGATTTGAGAATTTGAGGATTGAGAAGCGACACGGTATAGGTGCCGTTTGCGGTTGGATCGATTCGGAGCTTCAACCCGTATCAAAACAACGCGATCTCGTGCGCCACGTCACCATTGTACCCGCACTTGACGCTGCACTCGCTCGCCAACGCGCCGCTCCAGCGCGATACGCTGCCGTCACGTACCTCCTCGACTACACTTATTGGACGGTATATAGATACCAACATGATTTGTCTAGAACGCTGGGCCGACATGGACATCTATCCCGTGCTGTCGCCGATGCCAAAAGGTCGTTTTGACGGCTGGGGCAACATTGGCCAGTACTTGTTTCAGGCCAACAAATCAACGCCGTCGACACCATCGGCGACCAGCAGCCAAAGCCATGGCAGTGACCTGCTTTCGCCGTCGTCCAGTCCGCTCTCGCCGTCGGGTACCCGCCCTCATGGTAAAGCGTGTGATGACGCGCGTGTAGGACTCCTCGCCGGTCGTCACGTCACCGTCGTGTCCAAAGGTACCGTGATCTGGTGTCGACTGGAAAATGGAGAAAAATTGTGCTAGATTCGGCCCACGTGCTGGTCGATAGCCCTGAAGATGCCTTTGTCCACGACCCCTTGCGCGACATTCTTCGAGGTACATGTCATATTGCCGTAGCAGATACCAAGGTGCACGGCATAGGCATGCTCGTCTCGCTCCAGGCGCTGCCGTACGAGCGCGCGGATGTGCTCTTTGACGGCGTCTTGGGCCACGAACGCATCATTGCCAAGCGCCACACGGCCTTTTCGCCGAGTGAGTCGGGTGTTGACGTTGTGCATCATGTTGCCGATACGCTTCTTTTGTAAACGTACAGTCCGCTCAGACAATGCTTAAGCTAGAGCTCGTTCAACACCTACTAAGCTAGAGCTCGTTCAACACCTACTAGCATGTGCAAATGTCTTCTCTACCATATCGATCCATGTGTCTACTTTAGCGTCCTACAGCCGTCGTCGAGAGCTGGACGAGCAACGTTCTCGTGATAGACGGTTCGACGAAAGCTAGGGTAGGGTTTCAAGAGGGGTAGGGTAGGAGGGTAGGCGGCGGATACGCGCCACACTACCCAGTTTTCCTTTGCTCGTTCATCGAGTGGGAGAGTGGGAGATTATTGACGATTAGTACAGTTCGCTGAACGGTTTAGTTGACGGAATCGGGATCCGCGAGTCGACTACGTTTGCACTTTTGATGTCGATCAGTAGCTCGCAGCTCGACAGCGTGCGAGTGTCTAGATATGGTTTGCATCGAAAATATAGCATCAAGGCCATAAAGTTACTTGTTATTAGTATGGTGTCTAAATCCACTCGACTTTGGCGTACATGATGCCTTGTTTGGCATCGCGCCGAATGCTCTTGATACTAGGCAAAAATGATTCAAAAATCGCACAAAATTCTCCGAACGCACCGAAAGCTGCGCTGGCGCTTGGTGTTGAGAAGACACGCGTCGTTTTCCCACTGAATCCCCGTCACGTGCACGAGTTCGCCCTACGCGCCGCGTTCATTTTCTTGAAAAAACGTCGACCTACCGTGGGGAGTTCCCGCGCGTCTTTCGTGTCGAAAATGTAGACGTAACCGAGCGGCGACGGGCTTTTGCTGCGCTCCATGTGCGCCGCCATGCGCTTGTACTTGGCGTCATGAAGGCGCAGCGTCTTCATGCCGTCGCTCGGGTACCGTTCGTGCAGAAAGACGAGCGGAATCTCAACGTCCGAGGGACCCTCGCTCGTCATTGCGTGCAACGATTTGGTCTTCTTTTGCCACCACTTTTGCATTTGGCCGTGGACGTACGTGGGCGTCGCCTGGAATTGAAGTGGCAGTAAGTGACGATACGATTTGGACAAGTTGACGTACCTCGAGCGTGCGCTGCACGGGATCTCTGTACGACTGCAGCACCATGGCGGGGGCGCCAAAGAAGAGAGCGCACGCCAGCTAGCAAGATGGATTCGTCAAGTGATTTGCTCCAGAGAGGCCGAGACGTACAGGAATGAAGAGCGTCAAGAAGGCCTTCTCGCTGAGGAATGGACGCCCCATGTTTGTACGATGGCCGAACTGCAAAAGTGAACCGCCTGTCTCGGACACCGCTATCTTTAGAGCACCTGCATTTAGCACCATCGAAACTATCTATAGCCCTCGGTAACTCGATCTTGCTGCTTGGACCGTACAAGTACATATCCTAGGGACCTCAGAATAAGGGCAGTGCAGCCTCCAGAGCCGGGTGGATTGCCCTTCGAGCAACCAACGCGCGCTGCAAGATAGAACGACGAGGGATAAAAAATGTTGGAGTTTTTACAACACAAAATTGAATGGTATTCCATGCTTGGACTGACGATTCTACATTTTGCGGAACGGTGTACCCATGATATTGAGCTGCGTGTCGTTGGTGCCAATGCCGCGAAGAGTCAGCGACTTGAACGACCCACCGGCGACATCGATCGCCCAGAGATAGTGGTCTCCCGTGGTCGCCAGCATCGGACCTTTCTGACCGCCGTATTGCAGCAAGAGCGTGTCGTTGTCAGCTGAGAGCACCGCGCTGCCATAGAACTTTGCCGAATGGATGCTAGTGTACGTCCCGACCAAGGCCGACTGGTCTTTAGCCGGGATGACCGACCCGAGGCTCGTCCACGGCTGACCTTGGAAGAGGTGAGCGTCGCACGCAACCGGCGGACGGTAGGCGCTCGCGATAGTCAGCGCCGATTCGTAGGTCGCCGTAAGCGTTGCTTGCGGCACGTCGAGGAAGATGCCGAGGAGGTACGTCCGAATGCGGTCTTCAACCACCAAGTCAGCAAACGCGCCACCTCGTCCTTCCGAGTTGGAGAGGAGGACGACGCCGAGATCTTCTGAGGGAATGAACCCGTTGCGCGTCTTGAAAGCAAACGTGTCACCACCCTTGTCAAAGTACTGGTACCCGTACATGATGTCACCAACCGCATCAAACCCGTAGCCGGCCGTGAGCGCATCGCCATCAGCGTCATACGCATAGCCCATGAGCGGCCCAAGGACAGCGTCCATCGTGTTGACGCTGTGGCCCGTGATCATCGTGTCGAGGATCGCCGGCGAGCGAAAGATGCCGGCGCCCTTCGAGAGCAGAAATTTTGAGAAAATCGCTAAGTCACCGGCCGACGAGACGATCGAACCGGCGGCAATGTAGTCGTTGGTCGGACCGAGCATGCCTTGCGACGACGTGCGCAGGTCGAACGGCCCCGCGACCAAGTTGCTGCAGTGGTAATGCGCAAACGAGAGATCGCCAGACGGCGGTACCTCGCGCACGGCGCCGTACGTGTTGGTCATACCAAGCGGCGTGAAGAACGTCTCGTGGAGGTACTGGGACCACGTTTGGTTGGTCTGGTACTCGATGACTTGGCCGAGGATCTCGTAGTTCATGTTGGCGTAGGCGTAGCCAGAACGCAGCGGCCGGCCGTCCGTATCGAGGTAGGCAGCCGCACACACCGACGCACGCTCGTCCAGGATCCCAAGCATCGATGCTTGGTCGCCTTGGCCAGATTCAAAGACCGAGTTCATCGCGAGGAGATCACCGAGCGTCGTGTACTCTTCGGCGTACTTGTCCTTGAGCTGGAACCACGGAAGGCGGAGCTTGACCGGGTCGTCCCAGTGAAGACGGCCTTCATCGACCTATACGAATCGGAGTCAGCAATTATCGGAAATATAATTGAAAGAGAATATAATTGAAAGAGAGACGTACCAGCTTGCCGATGCCGAGCGCAATGAACGTCTTGGAGAACGAACCGATTTGGAAAATCGTGTCAGCCGTCACCGCGTTCGTGTCGTTGCCATACTAGAATCCAGTACAGACATTATTTCCACATCGGGTAAGGGTAGAGGAGATACCTGCTTGGTGCCAAAACCGGACGCAATAATGGTCTCATTCTTGTAGACCACTGCGAGCGCAAGACCCGGCAGCGCATACGTTGCCATTTGGTCGTGGACGAACGCAATGGCTTCGGCCTTCTTGTCCGCGAGCGACCGTCCACCGGTCGTTGACGTCGACGGCGACGGCAGCAGAGCTGGGATGAAGCGCACTTGGTCGACCCAGAGACCGAGATACGACGAGAGCGCCAAGAAGAGGAAGCGCATGAATGGGGTTGGGTGCGCGGCCGAGCGGAAAAGACAAAGTGCAATGTCCAGTGCATTTTGTATCAGCGGTTCGGCAATCGTTGAAGACATACATTCTTGTACACGCATTCCTGGTTACATCTGATTTGGGTTGTGTTGGGTCGTTGACTACGACCCAACACGGCCGTGGGCATACCAGTACTTGACCACCGAGTTCATACAAACGTAGCGCTAGCGATACGAAGCCCTTTCGTCAGCGATCAAGGGCTCATAAAAGCTATTGATGGACCCTGAATGAGGCCAAACAACATTCACTTTCTGCGCTCCTATTGGCCAAACTAACCGCATACATATAAATCCCCTTGGCCCAAGACAGACCCAATCGCTCGAGAAGCCATTGAAACGAGGTCCAATACCAAGTATCGCACCAGCAGAGGTCCAATACCAAGTATCGCACCAGCAACAATAAGCTCGCGAGTGGCTAGCAGGCGCGAGCGATTCGTCAGCTCCAAATTGAACTCGAGACCGAGCGCCGAGAGGGCCAGGCGCCCTCAACCGAGCCATGGATCGCCTGCATGCCGAACTCGAAGCTCAGCGCCACGAACGTCAAACCGAGCGCGCCGCCTTGTATGCGCATCGTGCAGTGGAACGAGCTGCGACTCTCGACCAGATTGTTGTGCCGTCGGGTTAAAAAGGCCACCGACACGAGCTTCTGTGCTTGAGGAAGATGCTCCCTTTAATGGTAAAACAAAGTCTGATGGTGTCGTTAGTTGGCTCACACATGGCGACGCTGATACCACTGCACGAGTGCCGGTGGCGGCTCGTTGGCACACGCAGCCAAGTGCCCTACGGTCCACAACCATCAGTGTGCATGCAACGAGAAGACGACCCTACGTTTCGCCTCTGCGCGCATCGTACAATGTGCAAGGGCACGGTCGGCGGTCCATTGTGCCAACCGTGCATAGCCTCCATGAGCGCAGAGGAGCGGGCTGTGGGCTTCGACGGCCCGACAGAGCCAGCCGTGGGAGCTGTTGCGCACCTCGATTTGGCCGGCGACGTCGAATCTGTAGATATTGGCATTTGCGGGTTCCACCACGTGGGCTGCGATGGCCCACGCGACGAGGCTTGGACCCTACCCATCGACACAAACGCTCGTACAATAGACATCCCACATCGGAACTCGGTACGTGTGCTAGCGCATCGCTTTGTCGAAACGCGCCGGCGCGGGTAAACATCGACAAGAGCCGTCCTTGGATCGTGCCCGCCAAGTAGCTACAAGACCCAGTTAATGATATTGGACGTAGACATTCGAGTGTACCGATACGTAACTCGGTCGTCGAAGTAGGCCGCAAGGGCAGTGAGGTGGATCTCCCGCTGCAGATTGACCAACGGTGAAGCCTCCTTGTCGTCTTGTGGCATACTGCTCGTCGTGTGGGCACGGTACCATGCATACAGCACGGCCTTGATACCGCCCACCCGGCTGCGAAACCTAGCGAACGCGGAAGGGTCGGAGTGCAGAAGGGCTAGGGTTACTGTGGCCGACGCTCGGCGAGCCGTAGACTGTCGCACAGGAGCGCGATCGTATCGGGGCCTTGTACACCTAGAGACTCGTCGATACTTCCGGGCTTTCATGCCTGAAGCAATGAGGGTACCAAGTTCGTTCTCAATTTCATGGGAGGTAAACCAGCGCTCTAAGAGCGCCACCCCTCGCGCGGCATACGCGGAGCGGCCACTCTGTTGGGCCGCCAGTAGAAGCTGCGCTGCGCCCCGCACAATCGACGAGAGCTGCAACTCGGGGGCCATGGATGGTGACAAGTTGTGGAGACTTGTCTCGGCCGCGTTGACGAGCTCGTGGCCTGTGTCATCGTTGTCGACAGGTCCGTCGTGCAAGAGCTATAAGATCCTAAGTCAAACACCCCAGGCAGAGGAATGACGAAGGATACCGCGAGGTTTTTCGCGTCAAATGCATACACGTCCGTCAAGACCTTTGCGTCGAGGTGCTGGAGCATCTGCCCAAGGGTCTTGGATCGTACACTCGCCAGAAGAGGCATGTACCCGCGTAATGGAGGTCGCCCGCGTCAGCTCGCGCTGGGTGCTACTCCCTACACCCATCTTTCAATCTTTCAACGCCAAAACGACAGGTATCGTTGCTACCGGGCTCTTCGAGGGACGGTGTTCCCGAATAAAGCCGCAGAACATAGCTGGACGACGGTACATTCGCGGAAGCGTCGCGCACCACATCTTGAGAGGTCCGGCGGCGCTCCCAATCGGTCCAGTCCCAGTCCCACCTACCATAGTCCATCAATACACAGGATACAGCAACGACGCACCAAGGGCCGGGCACAAGCAGGCGCACCAAAAGAGCTGCCTTATCCCGTCGCCCATACCTACGGTACACGTATCGAGATGGTGTCCTCGACCGAGTCGATACCGCAGCGCGTCATCAAAGGTCGCACGTGCGTCATAACGAAAGCTCACTTGTGGCTCTTCCCACGGCGTCGGTGCAAAGTCGGAGGTAAACACCACGTCGTTCTCAGCGCGCAGCCGGTCCATCCACGTCACGACATACTTGTGGTCTAACGCGTCTTGTCGCGGGCACGCAGACAACGTGGCATGACATACCCGTCGACGCATAGTGCGTCAAGTCGTCGCGGAGCTCACGCCACCCGTCGGGTGTCAAAAAGCAATTCTGATCCCACGGCAAAATCCACGTGGCGCCCGCGCGCTGTCTACTTACGGTAAAACGATCAACCGAGAAATTGAGATATGGCGAACCCGAGGGCCAAGACGTGGTTGCGCGCGGCGTTGATGCCCATCACGTAGAGGTTCTTGGCGTCGTACACGTCCGCCTCGATCTGCGTCATGTGCCACATGTCGGCCACAGCGGCATGCACCATATCCTTGCCGTGCTCGGACGCGACGCGGAAGGGCGTCTCGGCGTACGTGGCAAGCTCGAACGGAAGCTCCGTGTACCTAGTGGATAGATATTCCAATGGCGAATATTGGCTTGTGAAGTTAGTGAGTACGTGGCGTTGTACGATGTGAGCAGCTGCAGCAGCGCTTGCGCCACGTCGGCGTCGACGATGCGATTGAGAACCCAGTGCTTTTCCAGCGCCGGGTCCGATACTTCGTGGCGCAAGATGAATTCAATGTTTTGTAGCGTTCGGCGCGGATCGTGTCTAGTAGTGTTGGCGTTAGCACCTTGTTTTTTGTACCTTGAAGAAAGGACTGTAGCACTACCGAGGGGGCAGCGCGTTCCCAACGACACGTCCGAGGTACACTGTGGGAGCGCCCTGCTATATCCCATGATTATCCTGGTATAGATAGGAGGTGTGTACCAAAGCTAGCACGCTACTTGCGAGCAGTGCGACGCAACGTCGCTGCATGACGATCGAAGAAATGTCAACTGAAAAATCGTGTTTGCGCGGGCGTTGAACTATCGAAGTTTAAAATCACACTATTTCCGTGTACTCCGATACCGACTCGACTAAAGCGCAGATAGGACTACCTATTTGTGTGTCATGCTGGCTCTTCAAGATGAACTCGATGCGCAGTTGATGTAGGTTGTTGGGAGGAGAATGAGCCCCTCCACGGCAAAGCGCTCTATGGTGCACAGGTCCACAGTATATAACAGTATTACGGAAGATAAAACAAACACTATTTAATCCAATGCAGTTGGAGTTTCGCCGAAGACGCGCCGATGAACCTTCTGGCCGACGAGTTCGAGGTCATTGGTACGTCGTCGCGTGGCCGCTGGGTCTGACGCGCTGACTCTAGATCCGAATCCAGATATCTGGGCGCTCTTTCTGGTACGGTGCCAGAGACGCTACGTCGACGTCCGAGCGATGCTGCTGTAGGAGTACAATGCGCTCTTCTTTGACGACCTTCTCAACGGCTGCGAGATCAAGTGGAGCAAGCGCATGACATTGTGGTACGCATTTCATTATCTCACAATCTGGTACGATCCAGATTTCCAGCGCGGGGCTCTGCAGCTTTCAGCCCATGTCTGGTTTTTGCTCGATTCGCCTCAGGTCTGCGTCACGTCCTTTCTAGTTGCTACTAAATAGGATGCGGACGTTGGTAGTGAGCCGCTGCTCAAACTGCGGCCCCGAAGCGACCTTGTCAACACGCTTCTGGTAAGAGCTCAAGGCGGCCGTGCTCTCTCACGTCGCTTCGCATCTAGCACGAGATGATTCATGCGTTCATCTTCCTCAACAGCCCCGTGCGCGATCACGAAGGTAGACACTTGCTACAGATTCTGCGATTTCATTCCTTCAGCTAGACCACGGCCCGCAATTTCAGTATCACATGCACCGCATCAACGCGCTCGGTACTAACACGCATTAATCGTTTGATGTGCGACCGTGCGTAGCCCAAACCAAGATCACAGTCTACCACACGTTCAATGACGAAGTCGACTCGTACCGCGTTCATTGGTGGAAATGCGATGTACACTGTGACAAGTCATCTTCTGTGCTCGTTTCTACTTATGCGTGTCTAGGGTCCATGCCAACATTCGCCGCCGTACTTTGGTATTGTCAAACGAGCCATGAACCGCCCGCCAAGTGCCCGAGGTGCGTCCGTTCTTCTTTACCACCCAAAGATTGTTCATTGAAGTGACGTCCATAAAATAAGATCCGTGGTGGGCCGCCCATCAAGTACGATGACCCGATAAGATCTGAGAACCAAACACTATCGCAAATGGCTCGGTAGAGCAAGTGTGGTGGTACCTTCACCAAGATCAAGGAGCCCGACAACTACAAGAAAAAAGGGAAGCGCGACAAGCCTGCTTCCGATACAGCGCAAAAGACGATTGGCTCATTTTTCAAAACCGATGTTGGCGATGTCAAGCCGTCCGCCGTGCCCGCCAAGCGCGCCCGTCCCACCGAACCACCTGCACCCAAGCAGCCTACAAGCGCGGTGCTGGCTTCGTTCTTTGACCCTGTCCCGATCAAGAAACCCCGCGTCGAGGCCAAATTCGAGACCATCGATTTGACGTTAAGCGACTGAGCGCCAAGATCGAGAGCATCTCAAGTCTTGAATTCTGACACCTGACGTCGTCTGTCCTTCTTGTCAACAAGGAGTGCAGCGACGATAGGCTTGACCGCGATTGAAAGCTGTGCCGTGTGTCCCGTCACGAGAAATGATCTTTCTGCGAAGTGGACTCGAGTTTGTATGCTACAGCTACCTCGGGGTTGCGTGATGTTAATCACATGAGACTTACGGACTTCGCGAAGTGATGGTATCCATGCGCACTGCGGAGTACGCCATCGGTTGTTGATGATTTGACGCTCGATAAGCTGTTCGCACAGGGCGGTGTAAACGAGGTTGTCGAAGAGAGGAATAAGGAAGAGTAAATCCTTTGATGAGACATTCAGCTACTTGCAAAGCAGAGCAGATCTTCCCGATGATGGGAAGGAATTATGTAAGTCCACTGGGGTCGACACGCTCGCGTCACTCAGTTGGCGTGGCAGTACCCACAGCCAAGTGGTTGAGCCCTCGTGGCGACCGTCTAAACTACATGGCAAGGATTGCAAATAGATAGGTGCTCCAAGCGAATGCAAGTCGGCACACCGTCGACACATGCGAATATTGTACAAAACGAGACACTCGGGTTGTGTTTCTACTACCTGCGACTAACTATTCTGACGCGCTAAGACTGCCTCATAAATACGTGGATGTTTCAATGTCGGACGCCGACTTGGAGCTCATCAACTTCTTCTTGCGGTTCTTCCGGTCCGGGCTTGTCGAGCCCTCCCTACGTGAGCGACGGGGTGAGTTGCCAATGGCAATATATCGATATTGGCGTTGAGGGCGCACATGATTTCGTTGATATTGTCCCATTTGTTGGATATGCGCATGTTGCCAACGGCTTCGGCGATACGGTGCTTTCGCACAAGCGACTCTACCTCCGATTTGAGAAGACGCTGGGAAATAAGGAGGTTACCGAGCGCAATTTTCTTCCGGGCGTCGATGAGTGCTTGCTTCTTGACCTTGATCATGCGGCTGCGTTCGTCTTCCTCCGAGATGCGTATCAGCGTCTGAATGCGGTTAAATTCTTCGACTAGATATACGGGTGTTGAAATTAGTTGTGATGCAAAAAATGACAATATCAGTGTACCTTTCTTGAGCCGCTCGACGTTGGCTTTCTTTTCTTCGAGCGTCAAGTCGCGCTCGACGGACTTGAGAGTTCGCTCCTTGCTGCGCTCCGTGTAGACCACATCAAGGTGGGTTTCCTACATATTGCATGGACGTGTGGATGAGCGCGCTGTCGATACGAATATATATTGTACGAGTTGATGCCGCTTCTTGACAATGGTCTCGACGCGCTCGTTTTGGTTGTTTCTCGCCGCTTCGACGCGCTGAAGCCGGATGTCTTCCTCCTTGCGATTGCGTTCGGCGCGGTCCTTGAGCTCTACAAAGAACCATATTGAATATATATGTATCGAGAGCAATTGCAATATCGGTTGACCTTGCATTTCCTTTCGGTGCACTTCCATGGCCCGTGCGGCTGCGAGTTCTTGCTTTTGCTCAAATTCTTGTTTCTTCTTGAGCATGACATTTTGGTTTTGGTCCAAGGCGGCTTGAATGCGCGCGTTGGCCTTCTCTCGCCTACACAATATCGATAATATAAATATGTCCATATTTGTGCACGAAGGCACACCTGGCAGCCGCCTCTTGCCGTCGACGCTCATTGGCTTCGGCCATCTTTTTCTGCGCCAGCTCTTCGCGCTCAATGACCCGGCGCCGGCTCTCCATAATTTTATTTTCCTACGCATATATGTCGTGAGCCACATAGATAATGTCGATATATAAGGTACTTGTTGCTGGAGGAGCTCTTCGGTTTGACGACGATGCAGCTCGGCCTTTTGCTTGCGGTCCATTTCTCGCTCGGCCATTTCCTAGGATTCATTGAATGCACAGGATGCAACCTATAGGTTGGCCCAAGATAACCGTACGCGCTGCCGTAGCTTTTCTTGGCGGCGCTCTTCTTCCAGCAGGACTTTTTCCTTTTCAGCTTCGCGTTTGGCGCGCTGACGGCGCGCCGCTGCTTCGGCATCCTGTGCAGATTGCAGTTGCAACATTGATATTGGTGCCGACAGCGCGCTACCTCGCTCTTCTTTTTCAATATTTCGCGCTCGTGCTTGGCCGCAACGAGGACGGCGCGGCGCTCCTTCTTTTCCTTTTCCCACTCGGCCTTGCGTTTGGCTTCCTGCGCGTCGCGCAGTGCATTTTGTTTTTGAATTTCGGCCATCCGCGACTCCATTTCAATGATACTGGCGATCTCGCGTTCTTGCCTATATTGCATATTCATATCAGTATACACTGTGTTGTCCAATAGATAAGTGGAATATACCGAATCTTCATGGCTTGGAAGCGCTTCTCTTCCATTTCCATCATCGTCGAGTCGGTCACGACGATCTTCTCATTGGCCGGCGCGTTAAACACGTCAAACGGCGATATCAGTTTCTACACAAGTTGTCATGTGAGAGCTTTCGAGCGGCAACCGCAATGCCAATATTGTTAATATTGGCATCGCCACGTCGCAAGGAGGCATTATAGGTACATGATTGTCGTTCGAGTCGTCGAACGGCTAAGAGACACACGACGCGATATGCATCATATCGACACAAACAACGAATGCAACTACACATCCGAGACAATACCTTCTTTGGACTCAGCTTGGCGAGAATCGGCGATCCCGTAAAGCCGGCATCGACCAGCTTTTGCTTTTCCCGGCGCAGCAGACCGATCTTGGTTTGCCGTCCTTCCTCAAAATGGGTAAAGCGAAGGTGGGCAGCCTCGCGCTCGACGTCGTCGTGCTTGTGCTTGTGGTGTAAGAAGTCTTCAATTACCCTAGGGTTAACGCATTTGCCGACCATGAATGATAGATATGCAGTGTAGTACCGCGGGATGATCTCGTCGGGTTCGATGCCCGTGCGAAGACATGCTTCGAGAGCGCGAGGGGTGTTGGGCCGGACGCCTTGAAGGATCGCATCCTCGAGGGACACGGCTTTCTTGGGCATCGCGTTGTCGTCGGTTTGATCTTGGAAACTAGCGCCGTTTGTATTATTAGGAAGCGATGGTATAATTAGCGCTGGCCAGTTGAAGACGACACCCTAAACTTAGCAATAGCTGCATGCTTGAGGCAACGCGCCATTGCCTCAAATCGATAGCGATACGCCAAGGCAAGCTCGATGCTGGCGCCTTGCAGTGCTTAACCCGATATAGTTGCAGAGACAACATTCCGCAAGGTCGTGCGCCAGCAACGATCGCCGAGTGCTCAACCACACAAAGCGTTGCAGTCAGTAAACCGCTCAGTTTTTGAGAGCGGCTACATCGTATGTGTCCATCGGTGTAGTCCGAAATCCATTTTGCCGGTCCTTTCAACTGCATGCATGACCAAAGGCAATGAGAAAAAACACACAAAAAAAGTCGAAAGTCGTGCGCCAGCTAGGATCGAAGGGGTGGTCATCTGAACCATCTGGTATAGAGCTCACAAGTTTTCGCCAGACAGCTAGCAGCAACCCCACTCATCTCAGCCCATTCTGAGGCCGGAATTGCTGATCTAGCAATTCCATCTCGAATATCTAAAACGCTGTCTGTATCATACTACACTTTTTGGCAACGATACATGGTCACAAAAGCTGCTTGCGCCAAGCCGATCTCGCCAACTGATCTTTGCACGGGCCAATCGAGTCCCAAGTATGTTTGACGGGTCAGTGTTCCGGGCCCTCTGGCGCTGCTCTGCGCTCCGTCAGCCCATTGACGATGCTGACACCGAGAAGAGCCTCCAGACCCTCAAAAACCTCACGCAGCCAACTGCCCTCGCGCAGAAGGAGCTGTGGACAGAACGGACCGAGGCAGCGATCGACTGCTTTTACACGTCAGAACAATCTTCCTGGATGCACAACCTCAACACCAACGTCACTTATAGTCGCATGCATGAACTAACTATTGTGGTTCGTGGAGGGAATTACGGTGGACCGTTGTTCGCTGCGTCGATCGCGAGCAACTGCTGGAGCTTTGCGACGCTTCGAGTATCGTCGTGGAGCTGCCGCGGCCGTCGAACGTGCGTGTCGAGGTCGGTCGCGTTTTCCAATCGCGTTGCACGCTTCCAAACGACGTTTGGTGCCATCATCGCCTCCGCAGCGCATCATACACGCGTCGCAAGTCGTCGTCCACAAGGTCGTCCGCCATCAGATCTCGACTGTCGGCGCTGTTGTGCGCGCCGAGCTGGCTAGGATGCTCCTGCACGAGCGCCTGGAGTGCCTCACAAAGACTGGTATACTCAAACTCAAACTCGATCCGCGTGCCGTCACGCAAAAAGTCGGCAAACGTGGCGCACTGCGCGCAGTGATCGACGGCGACGACTAGGTCATCAATGGCAATCTCGCCCATCTCGGGCACGGCCGTTCTCAAAGTTGGCCAGACACTACGCGGCCACGTCCGAAAAGACACCGATGTCGTGTGGGAGCCGCTCCAACGCTTGGACAACGACCGCGTAAAGCACTTTGCAGTTGGCGTCCTGCGTCTCTAGCAGCGTCGCAGCCCACGCCGCACCTCGTGGGGCGCCGCAAGCGCGAGCTCGTGGAGGGCGCCGACGACACTCGTGACCGCCGCGACAAGGTCGTCGTCATTTCGCATGACGTCGTCGGTGGCGTTGAACACCGGCCCGATCGAAACAACGTAGCTGGCCACGAGCGCCTCCGGGGACGTTGGGTGCTGCAAGAGGCCAGCGATCGAGTCCGCGTGGTCGCTGACGAGGCGCAAAGCGTGGAGCAGCAGCGTCTCGTCGCAGTGGCCGAGCGTGGGCGTCGCGTCCAAGATATCGTGCACGTCGTCGGGACACATGCATGTGACCGTCGGCGCCACGGCAAGAATGTCGCTCACCGTATTTGAGATCGCGGCCACGTACAAGTGCCGACGGCTGGTGCAGAATGGCGGCAGCGACGCTCGACGACAGGCTGCGCAGCAGCAACGCCAACCCGCCGGTCTCCAGCACCTTGTCAAACGGGCGATCAAAGACGTAGCTGTCGACGACAACGAGAAGGCCGGTGGCAGGCATGCGTTAATCCAGTTGCCGTGTGGCATGTACATGCCAGAAATGAACTATGCGCAGGCATAGTAGTTTGAGGAGGGTTCTGATGAACTAGTAGTAAAAGAAGGAAGTGAAGAATGTGTTTGAAAATGAAGTTTGGAATTTGAAAAAGTAGTGTTTTGTGAAGGAGAAAGAGTAGTGTGTACGTAGCAGCACGTATCGAGAGACCAGTATGACAACGATGGTAGACGCGAATCAACGTCCTATATCTGTTGAACGATTTATCGCAAAACAAAAATGCAAATAGAGTTAGTCGGCAATTAGTCGTCGAAAAAAGGGGTCTAGTTCTTAGTTGCCGCCGCGCTTCTTCTTGCCGCGGCGTTCACGGCCCTTTTGCGCATTCGGGTTCATACGGCCGTAGCCGATCGTGATCGACGTCTGCTTCTCAACCTTGACGCCAAGATCGTGGGCGACGTGCTCGCCGAACGCGCTCTTCATGACCTTGGAGCTGGCCTTTTGGCGCTGGCCCCAAATACCGTGCATGAGCTGGTCTTCGCGGAGGAGGAGGTCGCCTTGCCGACCGCCCTTGGGCGCCGGGAGCGAAAACTTGGTGCCGCGCAATTTCTACGAAAAATATCAATGTATCGAGTGCACATTTTCAAATGAAGACACCATACCGTTGGGCGGTTGGCGCGCGTGTAGAGCGTGAGCTGCTCCGTCTCCTTGTCGAGCGAGCAAGCGACGCGCTCCAAGGTGGCGTTACCGCAGACAGGGCAAAACTGGCGCTCGAGCTCGGTCGTCGTCTTGAAACAAGCAACGCATTTGAGCACCCACTGCTTCACACGCTTGATGACCATGCCGTCCGTCGAGAGCAAGTGCAGACCCATCTGCAGCATGACGTTCTACAAGAGGCACTTGATCAACATCCCAAAATCCAGGAAATCCAGGAAATGCAGAAAAAATGCAGAAAAAGGCAGAAAATGCAGGAAAATCCAAATCAAATCCAAGGCGTACCTGCATCGAATAATCGGTCGTGATGCAGCCGACCTTCATGTTCTCGTCGACCTTTTCGACGGCAGTGCCTGTGCCAAAGGGCGACGTCGTAAACTGTGTCGCGTTCTCGCCGTTGACCCAGTTCTTGCCGTCGTCGTCGTCGGCACCGACGTTGCTCTGCGCGGCAAAGCCCGCGCTCAGAATGCGCGACTTGACATCGGCGTGGCGGATCTCATCGCGGACCACCTGCTTTTCAACGATGGGGGCCGGCGGCGCCGCGACCTGGAGGTCTTCGGGGGCCACCTTGATGTGCTGGAAGCGGCACGACTCGCCGTTGCCGCAGCCGGCCTCCGAGTTGAAGTAGCGGCACGGCGCGTCAATCTTGGGCAACGGCGCGGCCTCGACCGCATTGTCGGTCAAGTCGTGGCTGAACGGGCACTTGTCGCCGTTGCGGCAGCCCGACGCAAGCGAGAGGAACCGGCAGCGCACCTTGGAAGCGGGCACGGCAGCCTTGGTGCCCGTGACAACGGTCTCGGCGAGCTTGGGCTTGGTGCGAAGGTGCTCGACGCCGTTTGTCTCGCGCTCGAACATGTAGGTCAGCGCCATGATGCGCAGATCCGTGAGCGAGAGGAACTGAAAATCACCGGTTTGGCGCGCAAAGGCCGCGACGGCTGCGAGGTCCTTCTCGGACGGGTCGCGCGTCTGGAGCTCGACCGGCAGCCGCGCCACGAAGCGCCGGGCCTTGCTGTCCTTGATTTCGTTGAGGACGTCGTTGGTCGTCCAGAGGTTCTCGGCGACGTTGGTCAAGTCGGTCATCTTGATGAGCGCGCCGGCATCGATCACGAGGTGCTGCAACTTGGCCGCCATGCTGGTCGTCGAGGTTGAAAGCGAAAAGATGCGACGACAGGCCGACCCCGTTGCAGCGGAAACCAATCAAAATGGCCACGGAAATGGTGTGTGATACACGATTTCCGTGACACGCAATGGTCCTGCGCGGTGCGAAATAGTGTGTACTCGATCCTCGACACGCGGTCGCGTCTGCTCGAAATGCGAGAGCCTTGCCAAACGTACTAAAGAAGAGCGGATACAAATTCGCACTCAATATCTAGATGGATACAAGGCCATACATGCATGCTAGGCTCAACCATCGCCATCTTTGGTGGTCGAAGGCGGCCTGGGGCAGTACCTGAAAATAGTGTGCGGGAGAAGAGACATCGCACCGACTTCGGCGTGTTGCACCATGTGCTCGTTGGAGATAGCAATACGATCTTCGGCGTTCTGTCTTTCAAGTTGGCCATGGTTCTTTGGGTCACTGTTTTCATGGACGTCCAATGCTGGACGTCGGCCATGATCCTCCTTGGGTGCTGAACTGGTCGCTTATCATTGCATCACCAGCATCATCTCACTGGACTGCAACCCGTGCTGGCTACCAAAGCCGCCACGTAGCTGTGAGCGCACCTTGCATCCAGCGGTACTATCGACGTCTCGGTATACTCGATGCGAGCTCCGATGGCGGTCGGCTCGGCGAACGTCGTAGCAGTGATATCTCTCCATCGCAACAAGAGGGATGTCGACGCGCTGTGTTCGTCGCGCGACGAGTGCCACATGCGTCGACATTCTTGGTGGAAGTCTGGCATTGGCGAAGAAGACTGGGATGCGAACGTGATCGCATTCTTCCCTTGACGCCTCGGTGCCCTTGCCAGTTCGAGGACTACGAGTTGGTGCGAACACGACCCTTCGAACAGTATCTACGTTCCTATTTTCCTATTGCTACGTTTATGTTTTAAAAGCAATCCTATGCACTGTACTACAAGTCGACTTTGGTACTATGCGAGACGGCATCCGTCATGACCCCGTGGAGGTCGAGCTGGTCGTCGTCATCTTCGTCATCTGCAATCGACTCGGTGTAGTAGCTCTGCGGCTGCAAGAACGAGTTGTTGAGATCGTCGTCGTCGTCCATGTCGGAAAACCCGCCGCTAAACACCGAGAGCGACCGACCTTCTTCGAGAAAGCTGTGCCACAGCGCACTCGGCCGATCAGCCTCGTCCTCTTCGTCGTCGCCTTGGTGCTCGTCGACGCTCTCGACGACCGAGATGTGGCGTGGTGGCGCGTCACCGCGCGTCGACTCGAGGAGCGGCAGCCCGTTCTGGCCACCGCGCTGCGAAAGCACAAAGAAATCGTCGTTGAACGTGCGCAAGGCGGGATCGGTGGGCGTGGCTTTGGGCGTACCCTTGGACTCGACCGGCGGCGGTGGTGCGTACTCGGTCGCGTCCGACGACGAGAGCGCCGTGTCGTTCTGCGACGACGCCTCGCGGCGCAGGCCCACAATAGAGAGCGATAACGACGGCGCGGGCAGCCCGAGGTCCATGAGCGACCGGCGCGAGTGGCCGCAAAAGAGCGGCGACGAGCTCACGAGCGAGGCCGCAAGCGTCCGGTCCTTCTTGGCCGACGCAGCTCGGCGCTGGCGGACGCAGATGCCAACAAGCAGAAGCAGCACGACGGCGATGACGCCGACGACGATGTACTCGGCGGTCGTCATGCGAGTTGAAAAATGCGTCTCGTTCGTCGGGCTGAAATGTTGCGAAGTCGCCAGCACGTGCGATCGGGCATCTCAGATTGCACTGCTGGCGATGGCCGAAAGTGCGACATGTGCATATCTAACACGTTCTAACATCGTTTTCGTCCGGATACGCGACTTTTGTCCGGTAAAAGAGACGACACAGAGTTAGACGCGTGTTACAAGGGTTAGACCGCGTGGACCAGCTGGTGTCGAAGGAAACAACGAGTCGCTGGCTCCCAACAACAGCACAACGTACGAATCGAGTTCCACCACACCAGCTTGCATGGTCGCAGTGACCAACGTCAAGCTCGAGAGGCCGGAATGATCTTCCTGGACGACCATCCATACGAGCCACACAGCGACATATTCTTGGTGTCGTACTAGCTAACTTAATAGGGCGGAGCCTTTTGGGGTGGAGCCGGGTGGGCAGCACCCGCTTTGGTGTGGTGGCGGAGCCTGGCGTCACTCGACCTCTCGTCCGAACGCACGACCCCGACAACACCTACCCATTTATGGCTTGCGATCAGCGGCTCTACCAGCTGTGGCTCTACTAGTCCTGCAGCTACGAGCTCAGCTACGAGATTGCTGTTCGTCGCCAGGCAAACCACTCTAATGGATGCTAAAACTAATCGATTTTAAGTTAATGGGCGAGAGCGGGTCATCCCTACACGATCGAGTCCCGGCTCTCGCCGTCGCTGTCCGACGTCGACCGCAGCGTCTCAAAGATCGACCGGGACGTGTCCATCGCACTCATCCACTCGGCGGCGTCGACGTGCTTGGCTTGCAGCTCGCTCGGGCGCACTGTGTAGCTGTCCATGGTGCCATCACGGATCTCGACTTCAATCTCTTCCTGGATGCGGTTTTGCGAGCCGAAAATACCATCTTCGCCGCCCGTGAGCTCGTAAATACGCTGCGATTGAAGCAACATGAGGCTGCGCGAGCTCTCGACCGGCGACTGCCACCCCGCGCTACGGAGGCTCTGGAGCGCGTCGGGCGGCGCCAGATCGGCCATCATGTAGCGCGAGCTCTCGATCGGCGACTGCCACTCAGTGCTCGCCGGCGCGGGTGCAGGCTCCAATGGCACGGTGCTGGACGCCTTTCGGAGCACGCTGCCGCGCGACGACTTGCGCGCCGGCGGCTCTTGCAGCATCGCGGGCTCGATCGGCTTGGGAAAGTACTGCTCAAAGTCCTGCGCCGACGCAGTGCCCGGCGACGGCACAAAGCCGTGCTTGTTCGTATCGTCGGCGTGCTGCGACGACCGCCACCGGCGCGACATGTAGACACCGACCATAAAGATGACGCAGCAGAGCGCGACGACGACCGCGGCCGTAATACCCACGATCGCGGGCACCGACATGGCGTGGCCGTCGGCCGGCGGCGGCGTGGCGAGAATCGCATTGTGATCGGTGGTGCGGGTCTCGTTCATGGCGACCGGGCTGTCATTCGCATGCACCGAAGCAAGCAGGAGCAGCAGCGTAAGCGCGGTCTGTGCAGAATTCCGCATCTCTGAAAATGGAGCGCTTGGCGCGCCTCTGGCCGAGCGCCCTCTTCTTGTTTCGCAGGTTCCAAACACCTGATCTGGATGTCTCGGGACAGGCCGTTCGGCGGCAAAGCGTGGGACATTGGCTAAACGCACCCAGATTAGGATTTCGCGCCATTTTTGTCCACCCAGGCGCACGATACGAGCAGATCGCTACGAACACAGTGTCTACTCGCTCATCAAAAGAGTAGCTAGCTTGTTGATGACGACAGCGTCCAGAGCAGATTGTCTTGCCGCAGCGCCAACATAAGTCCGCGTCGTCCGTTGTCCGCGTGGTCGGTGATGGACTGACTGCAGTCCAGTCAATCGGCTACTACCGCTGGGCACTAGACACTGCAAGATTGAAAGGGCATCGCCTTGGTGGCCCTGACGCGCAGCAATATGCTCTTGTTGTCTGCTTGCGACTCGATGGCGTGTTCCTGGATCAACACAGCGAGCACGTTTCAAGTCGCGTGTTTCCAGCCTGTGAACGTGAACGCATCGTCTGGGATAGCCAACGAAGCGTGTTCTCCGCAAGGTGAACAGTCTCTGCAGCACGGGGAAGTTCCTGCGGCAAACAAGTCGATTGCAGCTCCAACGACGTTCAGGGCGCTGCTAAAGTTGCGTTGGAATAGATGGTTGTCTTCGCGCCATCAATGTGGCCGTTCCAAGCCGCATGGGACACGCCAAAGCGTCGGGGATCGACGACAGCCTTTACGCGCACCTGACGTGACGCGTCTACCGTCGTATGTGGTGGGCACATCGAGTCGGAGCGCCTGTTGGTTTGTGCTCTCGAGGTGCGGCACCTACCTTCGGTTGCTGAACCCTACGCTTCGTGTCGCAGCCACCGATCATTCCGCCAGCATGTTCTACAGTGTACCTTTGGTTCATTACGCCAGCGTATATAAACCTCAAGGACTACGTAGCAGTATCTTGCTGCACAGAAGCGATTTTTTGACCGAGAAATGCATGGAGCAGGATCCAGCGCAACCGAAGGCAACGCGAACGATCGGCAAAAGCACTTGCCGTCGCCGATCACAGACGCTCGCTTTGGATCCGCGCGAACACGTCGGCGGCGTTGCATCGTCACTCTGTTCTCCGCACCAGTCTCGCCATCGTGGCGGGCTTGGATTTCAGACGCACGGGCGAATCAGCACGCGGCATTTCTCGATTTTTGGCCAACGAGCGTCGGCAACTATCAAGCAAAGCCCGACCAGCCTTTGGACCAGGCCACGTTGGCAGAACCAGGCACACAAGGTACTCGCACCTTTGAATAGTAGCGTAGCAGCCCGACGGCAATGTGTCGGTCCTTGAAGGGCTTGTGAAGTCGCCGACAGGCGACGCGCAGTGCCGTGGCAGGCGTCGCACAACCCTAGTCGCTGACGTTGGCACGTCCAACACTGCCATTCAATAAGCACCAGTCCAAGCACCGCCGTCGACACCCGACGGGCCATGCAACAGACACGCACACACGGGCGACGCTATGCACAATCCTCGAGCCCGACGCTTCTGACGCGGCGAAGTCACTACCGTGGATGCACAGGAGAGAGTTCGAGACATCATCCTGAATGCACTGCTTGCAACATACATCATTACGATTCAACGTTGAGTGCTTGACCCTATCACTACTACTCACGTGTCCACTTTGTACTATAAACTAAAGTATCTACAACTCCATTTCGATCATGTCCTCACTCGACTCGCTGCCCGCATGCAGCGACGACATGCGGAAGAGCGAGCCTGAGCTCGGGTAAATGTCCGAGCACTCGGAGATCGCGTGGCTGCTCGGGCCGCGCGACGAGTCAAAGCTGCTCAAGTGGCTCTCCGAATACGTGCCAGGCCCGACGGACGAGCTCGCGATGGACGACCCACCAAACTGGACGGGCACGTTGGGCGACTGGTTGCTCGTGATCGTGTCGCGGCCCAAGAGCACGTCCCAGAGCGCTTGGTTGCTCCGCATCGGCGACGACGTGAGCGCATGGACTGGTGTCTGGTTGGACGACGGCGCGCGTCGCGGAAACGGCGCATTGCTGCCCAGAAAGGTCGTGTTGTGGATCGAGCTGTTGTGCGTCCGGTGCATGCTGGGCGAGACGCCACCGCCGTACGGCTCGCCGTTATCCGGCGCTTTGAACGCCGCCGACGACTCGCGCTCCTTGTTGGACCGACGGTAAATGAAGACGGCGACGAGAATACCGACGACCGCGACGCCGCCCGTGAGCCCTAAAATGAGCGGCAGCGACGAAGCACTGTCCGGTGTCGCCGCCGACGTCTTGGACAGCGGCGTCACGGTGGTCGACGGGCGGACGGTGCTCGCCTCTTCTTTGATCGGCGCGACGCTGGGTAGAACGTCCTTGGGCGCTGGTGTCGCCGTTGGCGGCGATGTCGTCAACGGTACCTCGGTCGTTGGCGACAACGTCATTGTGGGGACAGCATCCTTGGTCGTTGGCTCGGGTGTCGGCGCTTCGGTGGATGGCGCTTCGGTGGGTGCTTCCGTTGGCACCACGGTGGGCGCTTCCGTTGGCACCTCGGTGGGCACCGGTGTGCGCGGTGGTCGTGTAGTCACTGGTGGCGGTGTGGGTGGTGTCGGCGGCGCGGTCGTTGGCAGTGGCGGCATTGTCACGGTCGTTGGTAGCGGTGTCACTGTGGGCGCAGGCGTCGGTGCGGGTGTCGGCGCCGGCGTCGGTGCCGCCGTCGGTAGCTCGGTCGTGGGCGACGACGTGACGAGTGGCGTCGACGTCGGTGGCAGTGTCAGCGTCGAGTCATTTTGTGCGGCGGCGACGACGGCCGCTGCCAGCAGCAGACGCCAAAGCAGTCGCATCGCGTTGGTTTGGTTGTGATGGAAACCACATGATGGGTGCGGCTTGACTTTGAACCTCGAAGTTGACCATTGACACGCGCCGAATCCACTTGATTTTATAGAGCGGACCCGGTAGCTTCGAACTTCGATCGAAGCTCCACAGAGTGTCGATCTCGACCTAGACAGGACAGGCAACTGGCTCGTCACGACGTGCAAAGGGCCGCGGCTTCCTGTCGTCCAAAGTCGCCGACTCACCCCTCGCCCAGAGTCCCGCCTCTTCCTGCAACGCTTACCGGCTGGTAGATACGCCCAAGCGAGTCGAGCTCGGCTTGCACCCAAGAGCCTAAGACGACGACGCATGAGCTCCTAACGTTACAACATCACAACGGCCGACCAGAGGAGGCGGCAGTAGCAAGAGTGGTGCAGTACTCGTTTGGCCGCGGCAATGTTCGCAAGAAGACGACCACTGCCATGTCAACCTCGCAGCCACAACGCTTGAGCGGCCGAAGTGAGCGAACGTGCTGCATGGGGAACGCGGTGCAAAGCCACGGCGCAGGACGACCCGAGTGCTTCGCGGGTGGCATCGGACAGCGAGAGAAGCTGCATTGGACAGTTGGACGTGCCGTAGATGCTGCATACATGGCGCGCGAAGAGTGGCGAAAAGATGTACTACAAGAAGCAGAAGCGTATATTACGAGAAGAGCGCCATGAGCGCTTTGATAGCGTCTTTCGGAGCTTGCATGTGGGCGTAGCCCTTGAACTCACTCGCATGGAACGAGTCAAAGAGACTTGATCGTGTTGCCTGCGAGACGTGCATCATGCGTTCAAGGTCTTCGATCGAAATGTCCAAAAACCGAAGCTACAGTGGGCATAAGCCACGACTGAGAAAGAACTCAAAAGACGACGCCAACCTGATCTTTGAGCTCAACCACGCGCTGGCAGAGCGCGGTTTGCTCGTGTGCGAGCTCTTGCGCACTCGCCTGCCCGCGGCTGCCCGCGGGGCGCACGTCTTCCGTGATGACGGGTGGCGCCGCGGCCGCCAACGCCGCCAACGTCGCCGGTACCGTCTCCAAGAACGAGCGCCACTCCTTCTCTTGTTCTTGCAACCTATGTTCGATCGTAAGAGGTACAGTCGTGGCATGCGTCGCATCGTACGAGGCAAGCTTTTCTTCCAGAGAGGTGAGGATGGCGTGGACGGTCTCTTGCTGTGGTTTGGCTTCTTCTTCCGTTGGCTACAGCATATCCATCAGCGTGATAAAGGTATGGCGTGTGTACCTCGTTGGAGGCGAACTGGTCCTTGATGACAGCTGCCGCCTTCTCCACTATGTAGGACAAGTGCCATGATGGGCCTGCGGAGCAGCAAGATGACGACGTACGCACGTGGACGACTTGCTTCTTCGTGCATGTTTCCTTGGCCGCGCTCTGCGTCTGGGCCACGATGCGTTTGTGGAGTTGGGTACATAAGGTATCGAACATTTGCAGTCGATGGTGCTCCTGGTTGGCGACGAGCTTGGCACGGATCGCGACCTCGTCCGGCGTCGGCTCCCGCCGGGTGGGCCTCCGCATGGCCTTCGCCCGCGACGGCGTGCCAAAGAGCGCGCGTTCTGGAAGAAGCGACTCGTCGCCGAGAAAGTCGCCATCGTCGTCGTCGTCCATGGCATGATGGATGTCGTTGGCCCCATGGCGACGCGCCTTCTTCGTAAAGACAAAGGGCGATGCGACCTTCTGCGGCGTCTTGAAGACGAAGGGTCGCTTCCTAGGAAGAGGGAGCATGAGCATGGACCTTCCATGGACCGCTTCGAGCGCGTACGATGGCTCCCGCCCGTGCTTCCGGCGCGGTCCCTCGGGCATGTCCCTCGTCGGTCCGTTGGCTGGAATTCAAATTCTTGACTGTTATAAACAAACGACTACCATTGGCTAAAAATCAACGAATGGCAGCGAGCTTTCGCAGGTTAATCGCACGCCACCTACTACCATTCCCTCCCACCCTCGACGTTGTCTCGAGCGTCCTCGCCATGACGCTTCGTACATCGACAAAGATCTATTCATGTATTATCTCGTACTTGAATAGACATAACCATTGTCGAGTTCATCGAGGGACACACGCTTCCAAAGGCCTCCAGTTGCGTGCAGGTAGCCAGCCTTTCTGCATCCTATAAAAATGAAAAGTATATGTACACTTGTTTTACGTATCGCTACTCAATAATTTTAATCCTGCCAATGGGATGCCGGGAAACGCGCGCAAGCTCCGATCTCAGATCTTAGGCCGAGATGCCATTGATGTTCAAGAGCACATTGGACTTTTGCTGCGCGACAAAGACGTCCGCGAGCAAGTTCTTGTTGCCGTTGCCAGCGATCACGAGATCGGCGTTCGAGGCCATCGCGCTCGTCACGTCGAGCCGCTGCATCTTGAGCAAGTACTCGCGCTGGAGCTGGAGCTTGCCGGACGCGGCGCCTTCGGCGTCGGCCAGAATCTCATTCACGCGGGCATCGCCGAGCGCCTGGAGTCGGTCGACGTCCGCCTTCATCTTGACCATCAGCGCGTCGCGTTCGGCGAGGATCTTCATGACTTCGGCGTCGCACGCCGCCTTGATTTCCGTTTGGATCATCTCGGTCTCGGCCGTAATCTTGGCGATCGAGAGGTCGGCGTCCGCGACAATCTTGGCGCAGCGCACGCTTTGCTCTTGCTGAATCTGCGCTTCCAGCAGCTTGGTGTCGGCCATGATGACGTCAATGTCCTTTTGAATCTCGGCGCACTGGCGACTGCCCGCTTCGGTTTCTTCCATGCGGCGCATGCGCTTCGAGAGCTTGGTCGTATCGATCTCTTCCTTGTACTGGAGCAGCTGCATATCGCTCTGCTGCTTCATCGTCTGCTCCTTGATCGCGCTTTGGTACGTGGTCTTCTCTTCCATTTGCGTCTCGAAATTTTGCGGCAAGAGCACGTTTGTGATCGAGACGGTGCTAATCTCGACGCCGTACGGGTTGAATTGCTTGTTGAGGTTGTGCTTGATGTCTTCTGTGACGCTGTACAGAATCTTGGCTGCTGGAATGTCGCCAGGGCCTTCCGAGGCGTCAACCTGGAGGTACTTGACGGGCATTGCGAGCGCCGGCGCCATTTTGCCACGCGGCAGGTCGCTAGCTTCGTCTTCCTTGGTCTCTTCGTCTTCTTGAATGGCGTCGTGCGGCAGAAGCGGCGCCGTCGGGCCTCGCATCTGCAGCGAGTTCTCCAACCGTTCCTTGACGGTACCGTCGCGAAGCGAGTAGACTTCTGTGTGCTCGACGTTGCGCGCGAGGGCGCGGACCGCTTCTTCTTGGGCGTTTCGGAGCTGCGTCTCGAGGCCTTGCGGGCCGAGCTCGTACACGAAGCGCTTGACGAGCGCCGGGTCTTCGCCCTTCTCTTCGTCGCCCATGATGCGGAAGACGAGCCCCATGTCGATGTGAACCGTGACGTTGTCGGCGGTCTTGCAGCCCTTGACCGGCGTGTCAAACACGACGTTTTGCTTGGTCACGAGGTACGCAATCTTGGTAAAGACCGACGCCATGTGAAAGCCTGCAGGCCAGAGCGGGCTATGGCGGCCGTCGGGGTACACGTAGTCAATGTCGCGGCCGTAGCGCTGGACGATCGCATACATGCCTTCGGGGACGCACAGATACGGCTTGACCGGGTTGCGCCCCGGCTGCAGCATCACAATGGTGTTGCCGTCTTTGCACGAGCCAAACTTCTCGTTGGCCTTGTCCGCGCTCCCAATGTGATCAAAGATCAGGTGCGTCTGGACCTTGGACTTGGCGTCCATTCCGTTTGAGGTGGCGGTGGTGGTACGACTCATGCTGTGAACAATGGAAATTGAAAAATGAAAATGAAATTGAAACAAACAATGACGATCTTGGAGGATTCTTGCATCTGCGAGCCCGTGTCGCACACCCCAACGGCAACAGAGGACCGAAGTTGCGTTGGACAGACGCGTGAAGATGCACCCCACGTACCTGCCGCGGGCGCGATCTTCAAGGATCCGTGCTCAGATTCAACAGAAAGACGTGTCCCAGCGCCAAAGATCGCGCTGGATGTGGACTGGAAACGAATCTTGTAGCCAGGAATTGGATTTTTCAAAACCACCATGTTGGACACGTGTTTTTATAGAATCACATACACAACGCTGGATAAAATCATTAAAATATTGCGCGGTGGCACGCGGTTGCAAGATCTGGGACACGTTTTTCATTTTTGTCCACATCCACAAGACAGGTGGGACATGCATGATCAGATGCACGTTGAAAAGCCAGCAGCACTACGTGGCAGCGTAGCACGCTTGCATATACATATCTTTAGACAGAGCCGCAGGATCACAAACTTGAACGCGGTGTCCGCGACACGCCGTCGTCTTCTCGGACGCCGCTCCATCGCTCCACTGGTATCCGTCGTGTCCAACATCTCCAAAATCCACGGATCATTCACGATCATTTTCCAATTTTCCTTGGCCTTCGCAACCTAACCTACCATGGCGTCCGCCCAGCACCCGACGTCGTCGACGCAGCGCAGTATCGTCGTACAAAAGACGATCCGCAAGCACATGCACGCCGAGCACGCGTTCAACGCCAAGACCAAGGACGGCAGCATTCCGCTCGTGCTCGTCCCAAAGTACCCGCTCTTGTGTGACACCTTTGTGCGCATTCCATCGGGCATGTGGGTGCTCTATCAAAAATGGAACTCGCATGCCGGAATTCTCGAGCCAGGTCTCAAGATGTTTTGGCCCGCGTACTACCGCGTCTCGCACATTGTCACCAAGCACGCGGTGACGTACTCGGCGCCCGTCAAGCGCTGCGCGACGTCCGACAACGTCATGATCGACATTGACATCTCGATCAACTTTCAAATCGGACCGACGGCTGACGATGCGGTCAAGTTTGTCTACCTCCTCGGTGCGCAGCGCTTCAACGAGCTCATCTCGCAGATCACCGAGGAGGCGATCCGCGGGCTCGTCCACTCGGTGCGCCACGACCAAGTCCACGACCTCCGCGAAGAGTTTGCGAGCGGCATGAAGAAGGACCTCAACCAAAAGGTCTGCGACTACGGCGTCATTGTCCACAACGTCAAGGTGACCAACGTTGAGCTCCCGGTCCGGCTCTCGCGCACGCTTGAGCACACGACCGCGTTCAAGACCAAGATGGAAGAGCAAGAGAAGAAACAAGAAAACGACATGCGCATTTTGATCAACGAAGAGACGCAGCTATTGACGGCGATTCAAAAAGAGAACGACCGCAAGGTTAAGGACCTCATTGCGCTCAAGGAGCGCGAGCTCATTCGCCGCCAAAAGCTCCGGTTCGACGCCGAAGCCAAGATGGAGGTGCTCTGCATCGACCAGCGCTCGATCTGCGACGCCCAAGTGCTTCGCGCGGCCGGCCAAAAAGACATTGCAGCCGCGTCCGCGTCGACAGCCGCCACCAAGATGCGCAACGATGCGATGGTGCTGCTCGTCAAGACCCAGCGCGAGTACGAACAGACGATCAAAGCCGAGGAGATCCGGCAGCAGGCGCGGATTGACGCTGCGCTCAAGGCGGCCGAAGGTCTCACGGCCGCGGCCAACACGGAAGGCAAGGCCGCCAAGCTCCTCGCAAGCAAGCGCGAATTCGACTACCAGACCAAGAAGAACGCCGTCGAGACGGATCTCGTGGCCAAGACAAAGATGGTCATTTCAGGCGAGCACGGCGAGGCCCTTTTGCAGCGCATTTGTGACCAGTCGAGTGCCTCGGCCTAACAAGGCATCTAGTCGTCGCACGGTCGAAGTGCTTCGATAAGAGTTGTCATGTGTACAAGTAGCTAGCATTATAAAGAGTTTATATGAAATACATGAATTGTCTACGAGCAGCTCATTTTGGCACTGTGGTGTCGTTCAAGTCGAAACTATAACCAAGCAAGCAAGCGTCACCTCTCTAGTGGCCATACAAGCGTCGGCTGCACATGCAGCGCCGTTAACTGATATTTAAATACTAGAACGAATTTAGAGTCTTGAAGTAGGAAGGAGGGTAGGTCGCTCGACTCCGCCAGAGTGTCCGGTAGATACTTGCACGCATAGAAAACCTGTGGTAGAGCGCGTTGTGCTTGTATGGCTCTATCTACGGCATCTCAAGTTAGACTAATCTATGATGCAAATGTTACTTGACCTCGTGGCATTCTCCAGTTCCTCAGCGCATCGGAAAACGCTCGCGGTGATGGGTCGAATGAAACCGCACCGCTGTTAGCAGTGCGCATTCCAGACTATCGCACGAGGCTGTAGTATTTATATATAAACGAATAGTAAAGCTAATAGGAGGATAGGCGGTAGACGATGAGTGAGGGTGCGAGAACGTTGGGTGGTATTACGTCGAGACCGCTGGCGAGCGAGGTTAATGCGGCGCAGCAGGCGAGCGTGATGAGCATCGGGAGCACGACGCTCGCAGAGACCAGGAGGACGAGAACGCCGACGAGCGTCGCTTCGGACACGAGGCGCAAGTGCCGCTCGAGGGTCGCGGTGCTGCGCATGTCTTTTTCTGGCAGACCCACCGCGTCGGAGGCGTCTGATTGGCTGACCTGGCGCACTGTGATTGGTCCAATCTTGTCAGGGCCAAGCCAATCCGATGGCGTGTCGTCGACGCGACCTTCGGAGTTTGTGGCCCACAACCACAACCCTGGAGCCACTTGCGCGAGAGTTTTTTGCATCGACTATAATATTGTAGCTCATGAATGCTATAATTATATTTTGATAGTTGTATAGCCAAGATCAGCAGACATGGGACATCAACGTGGAGCAGGATCTAGTGCGCTTCACTCGCATGGTTATCATCGTCACCTAAATAATTCGATTGAAAGTGTACGGTTATCGTTCGCTGTGTAGCATAGCGTTACGTGATCCAACGATATGTGCAAGGGTCGACATGTTCATTTTGCAGTCGACTCCATTTTGAAGCGCGTTGAAGTACACTGCTTGCATATTGAAAATTGCGGTCAAGCAGAGGCTGTAGGGCAGCAATGCAGCAATCACGACAGACAAAGCATATTTCATTGGCTAAAATTTTCTATTTTAGGCCAATCACAGAGGGGATATGCCACGCTGCGAGGCCGCTCCTCGCTGGACCGACCGCTTTCGACGTCCCAATGACGTTTGAAACGAAATCGCTCTAGCTTGGCATACAGATAAAAGGCACTTTGGAGAGTATGTTGCGCTATGTCGCAATGTCAGACGAGCTGTACAACACGAGAAATCGACCCTATAATAAATTATGGCATACGCCACGTATAACCATATATAAAAGCTAAAAATGCCTATCCATGGCATGTGCCACACGCAAGGCTGGTGCCGGTTGCGAGATGCGACGAGAGCACTCACAACAGCGTTATGGACGCACATTACTGTCTTGCGATGATAATATATACATAGGATGCGAAGGACAGTCTGAACGCGGGTGACGTCTTTTGGTCAAGAGCTGAG